ACTATCTTCCTTCTCATACGACAGCATATTTGCAACCTTGTGATGCTGGTATAATCTGGAGTTTTAAGGCATACTACCGTAAACTATTTTGTGAAAATCGTATTGCAGCTTATGAGGAAGCAACAGAAACTGGTGAAGATGCCCCACTAATTAATATCAAAGATGCCATTGACCTTTCTGCAGAAGCGTGGAAACAGGTTTCTGATAAAACAATTCGTAACTGTTGGATCAAGACTGGAATTCTTCCAGATAATTATTTTTTCTTGACCTCTCAAGAATTAATGGAGGATTTTGAACTAGTTGACCTTACCTCACAAAGTTCACAAACATTAAGCATTGCGGACCCTACTAACCTTGTAACAGAAATCCAGTCTCTAATTAATCGTCTTCCTATAACAAACCCAATACTTGCAAATGATTATATTGAAGCTGACCATAGTGTTGAAACTAATGTAATGCCCAGCGATGCAGAAATAATCAATGCCGTACTCGATCGTGATTGTAATGAAGACGATGAAGTTGAGCCCGAAGTTCGTGTTTCCCACAAAGAAGTTATTACAAATATTAATAAAATTCTTCGGTTTATTGATCAGGAGGATGGATTTAAGGTGGATGAGTCTTTTATTAAAAAATTATGCAGTTTTAAAAAAGATGTCGTGAGAGATAGCATTGCACTACAAAGGCAAACAACTTTGGATTTATATCTGCAAGTTTAATTCATAGTCATAGAGAGTTTAAAGTCTGTTCATGATAATTTTAGCTTATCAAAATTTTAAATTTGAAATTCAAATTTAAATTTTTTAAATTCAAAATTTTAAATTTTAAATAAGATTTAAAATTTAAAAATTTTAAAAATTTAAAGTTTCAAATTTAAAATCAAAAAAAAATTTGAATTTGATCAATAATAAATAAATTCAATAGAGATTTAGTCCAACATTTTATTGACTTAGTGTTTATTTGCAGTAACTTCGTATTAAAACTCTATTTATTGGGTCTACATTCAATAATTCGCGATATTTACATAACCTGATCAAAATTAGTTAGCTGGTTTTTATTAAAGGTATGGGTAAGCATTTATTAAATGTCTAACTCTATTAAATGCTTTACTAACTACTTTTTACATCTCTGTTTACAGTACTATCTCGTACACTTTATTGCAAAAAAAATTTTAAAGAAACTAATCTCTGCGGCCTAATTATTATAAGAACGTTACTTGTGAAATTATAAGTAGGATCAGTTTATTTGAATACAATTTTTGAATATTATTTATCATGTATTAATCGCGCACAAATAAATAATGATATTTAATTCGATTAACAATTATACTACTATATTTATCTTGCATCAAATCGTGTACAAATTAGCAATATTATTCAATGCGACTAACAATTCATATGCATTAATTTTATAATAATGAAATTAATGCTCATGTGCATCGATTTGTAAGACACTTTATAGGTTTTTGCTGACATTTGATATAAGAAAGTTTTTTCTCATAACATAAGACCTTTCTTATAATGAGAGGCTCATGCTATAAGAAACTCTTGATATAAGAAAGATTTTGGTTGGACCCGTGAACTTTCTTATATCAAGATTCACTTGTATATTTTTTTAATGGATGTTAATAGTTTCTTTCTTTTGTAGGTTTGGTTTTGTTGAACAATATTAAACATTAAAGCTTGCACTTGGGCAGGAATTGAAACTAGTCTAACAATAAGTACTAGTTTCTCTTTTCTTATTCTATTTTTAATTTCTTTTTTCTTATAGGTGCTAATAATTTATAGGTCTGGGCCTTATTAGAACACAAAACCAATGCCAAACAATACTAGACTCTGGATTTTGGACTTAGGCAAGAAATTGAAAACTGGTCTAATGATAAATACCAGCTTCTTTTTCTTTGTGTATATTCATTTCTTTTTTTCTCAACAGGCGCTAATGGTTTCTCTCATTTGTAGGTCTGGGTTTTGTTAAAACATGAAACTAACATTTGATAATACTAAATACTGGTGCTTACACTTGGGCGAGAAATTGAAGCTGGTTTAATGATAAGTGCCAGTTTCTTTTCTCTTATTCTATTTGTAATTTTTTTTTTTCAACAGATGCTAATGGTTTTTCTCTTTTGTAGTTTTGGCTTCATTGAAATTAAAAGTCAATAATAAATGCTGGAGATTGTACTTGGATAGAGAATTGAAAACTAGTTCAATTGTATTTTAATTTTTTTTTTCTTATCAAAAACTAATATTTCCTTTTTTTATAGATCTGAGAGTTATTGGAACACAAAATTAACTCTAGATAATATTGAATAGTAGGAATTGTGCTTGAATAAAGAATTGAGAACTGATTTATTGATAAGTACTAGTTTCTTTTCATTTATTTGTGTTTAATTTCTTTTTTCTCAACAGGTGCTAATATTTGTTTTCTCTTGTAGATTAGGCTTGATTAGGTTTTCGCAGAAGTTACTTTTCTTCAAGATAGAACTGTGAACTAGGACAATATAGTAAATTAGTTTTTTGTTTTCATTTTTCTTAGTTTCTTTATTAATGTCTCTTTTCTTCTAAGTATTTTCAACACTATGACTAGTAATTGAACCTATCTAAAAAAGTGCCACCTGGGTTACCCAACTGATAGGTCACCTGACAGATAGGCCTATTGGCTACTCGGGTGGTTATAGATATTATCATAATTTCTGAAACTAGTAAAACTCTGAAGATGTCTGAAAACTTGACTTATAAAGACATGCTAAATATTTTTCAATTTTCGAATTGATAAGCTTTTCAATTATTTACCAGTGAAGATACTTTTAAAGTATCACATTTTTATTGAGATGTTTGTATTAGTATAATATTTATATCATTACCTAATTTTAAATCACATACCAGTATGTAAATTTATACATATCAACTTATAGGATCTATTATGCTCAAATAATAAACTTAACAAATTGGCCAAAAAATTATCTAGCTAATTTTTATCAATATTCTAAAAATTATAATAATAGTTATAATATTGAATACCTGGTTGATGAAAGTGTTTGACTTGATGGATTTTGAAATTCTAAATTCTTACAGATGTTTCAGGAATTATATTAAAAGCTGCTCCACCTGCTTCTACCTAGGTTGCCACAATACAACCCGGGTTACCCGTGAGCAGGATTGGCAATAAAGCTCAATAGAGCTAATGGAGCTGCAAATAGAGCCAATGGAGCTCTGAATGGAGCCAATAGATACTAGTTTTTTGAACTCTATTCATATAACTATTTAACTCTATTGGCTTTATTGCCAACCCTGCCTGCGGTTGAATGGATGACCCAAGTAGTTACCCATCTGGGTTCAATCACTAAATTAAATGATTGAACTATACAAATTTGATGTAACTATGAGATAATAAAAATATAATTAATACAAATAAAAATATAGAGTTAAATTATGTTTTATTTATTATTTAATGATTGTAATAAAACTATAAAAAAATTTCTAAATTTATACTAGTGTATGAAGTACTGGTATAATTTGTATATAAAATAACATTTAAAGAAAAAAATTAAATAATTAAAGTTAGATTGTTAGGGTTAGAAGTATGGGTTAAAGAGTAGTTTATACTAAAATTTTGCATAGATTATTTTTTGTTAGAATTTAAAAAGTAGTTTTATAAACAGAATTTTAAGTTATTATACATATCTGTGTTTTATATACTACAGTAGTATACATAATAATTTTTTTATAATTTTTTTGGTTTTGGAATTTTTGGTAATAGACAATATTTATCTTGTTTTTGAGGATCTTTAATATGTTGATATATTTGTTCATATAAATACTATTGTCTTTTTGCTGATAATTCTTTAGAAAAAATTTCTTGTAGAAATTTTGTAATATTAATATTTGGTTTTAAAATATTTATAATTTGTTTATCTTTATTAATTGCTGTTTTAACTTCTATTTTACCTATATTATTTTGATGTAATATAAAATGATGATATTTTAAAATATTAGAAACTGGCTTAAAAAAATTTGATAAAAATTCTTTTCAATTATAAAAATGTACTACTCTAGTTTTATTTTTATTAAAAATTGTTTGTGCTTAATTAAAACCTCCATTTGTTAAATTTTCTACTACTTTTACTAAATCATTAAGATTATTAATATCTGATTTTCTTAATTTTAATTTAAGAAGACCAAAAAATCTATTAGGGCTAAATTTTGTATGACCTGCTACTATAAATGAATATGTAATTTGTATATGTAATCCACATGCAATTCGTCAAGCCAAATATATAATCATTGCATTATTTTTGTTTTGTTTAGTACAATTATCTGCATAAATAACTAAATTGGTTTTACCTAATCCATAATATGTAAAATAATGATGTACTAATGATATAACTATATTTGCACCTTTTCTAATACTTTCTTCTTTTTTTATTAAATAATTTCTCTAAATTAAAATTTATTAATAAATAATATTAATATAATATTAAATACTAATATACTTACTTGAATTGGAAATGCATCTTCACAAATTTCAAAAAGTTGAATATTATAAGAAGATTTAAAATATATAGTCCTCTTTTTAAAAAATTAATATAATATATTATTAAAAAAATAAATAACTTATTTTAATTTTAATTAATATTTACTTCTTGTTGTGAAGAATATTGTATTTTTATTTGTTCAGCATAATCTCATAATATATGATTTTCAACTTTTAATGAATTTGGTTCATTAGGTTAAGAAAAATTAGAAAAATTAGATAGTTGTTGTAAATTAATTTTTGTTAATTGAATACAATTTCTAAAATTTAATAATTATATTAAAATTTAAATTATATATTTAAAATTTTAATAAAATAAAATAAATACCTATAATATTTTCTTTCTTTTTGTGTCTATAAAATATGATAATTCTATTCAGTTATATATTTTTCAGTTTCTTGTTCATTCCAATATTTTGAATTAAATCTCATATTTTTACATCTATAACATAAATCACTTCAAGGTGATAAAAATTTAATTTCTGGAATATATTTATTCCAAATATACCAAAAAGTACTTAAATGAAATATATTTGATTTTGATTTTCTTTTGTTAATATATATAATTGATATAATGAAGAATAACTTTCACTTGCAGAAAGAAAAGTTATTGGTAAAGTATCTTTAGAAAAATGTTGCCCTTTATTAATTAAAAAATTAAATTAATTTATTAAAATATAAAATTAAAAAAAATTTAAACAAATATCTGGTGAAGGTAAACCATGAATATTTGCATAATTAATTATAAAAGTAAGTACATTTAAAATTGTTTCAAATGATATAGTAAAACTATTAATTTTCTCAGTTAATTTATGTATTCTTGGACTAATTCCTTGTTGAATAAAATGAGCTCTAATATTTCTCCAATATTTTTCTCCAATTCTATAAATTATTAAAAATGCATTACTACAAATTTCTATTACTTCAAATATATATTTACTAGCAAGTCTGCTATGTTTTTGTCCTATAGTAGTATTTCTTGTCAAATAGTTGCAGATAATATTCCAAATAAACATAAATCCTTTTTATTATTATTTAAATTTTGAAATTTTTGATAAGTTAAAATAGCATGTTCATAAAAAACTAAATTTTGAAGACATTTTTCTTTGCAATATATTGTAGTTTGTAATTTTTTATATTGAGCTTTTTTATCTTTTTTTTTTCTATTTTTTTTTTAATTTTTTGAATT